TAATTTGACCCCCCTCCAATGAAATGGTCTGACCCTATGAGTAGTTACGTTAATAACCCAGCTATATATAGTTATATATTTGATAAATAAATAGACATGTCTTTTGAAAAAAAAAAAACACTGAGAATTATAATAATTGACAGGTTTCATATATAGAGATATATTGGCAAGTGCTAACAATTAACTTTAATAATGAGCAATGAAAATAAGGCGATCTTTCTGGTTAAAAAAAATTGCAGGACAGGAACTTAGAGTGTAAACTTATTTTCAATGTTATTTAGAGATTCCTCAGTGTAATTAAAACATATGGTTCACTTTAACCACCAACCTGCCAACACACAGAGCCATTTGAACTAATGGCAGGAAATACGCAAGGGGTACATGTGCAACAGTCGTAAACAAAAGTGTGCAAAAATAGGCATTGCCTTCTTTTGTTAAAAACCGCTAACACAACAAGTTTCCAGACTGTCAACATGTTTTTTATCATCAATTAGGGTCACCTGAAGCCATATAGATAAGTGATTTGCTTTCACCACCCAAGTCCCACGGGCTTCAGAATTGATGCACATGCTCCCTGACTAGTGTTATACGTTTTAACATTTTTTTTTCATATTTGTGTTTCGTTTTTTGTGTATGATTATTGTCCATGGTTAATTCATTAATTCATTAATTTGAGTCAAATAAAATATATTACTGTAAAATACTTTTTTTTCGCTTGGAATTAATTATCACTATTTTCGCTGAAGGTATGAAGTTCAGGGAAAATAAAATCCAGCGAATATACTTTTCTCTTTTATTTTACATTCAACTGGTCAGATTTCAGTGAAAATAAATTCCATATAAAACACCCAAAAAGTCTTTTCAGCGAAAATTAATTCCAGCTAAAATAAAGTATTTTACAGTACTGAGTATATCACATGATACCAGCGATACCGTGACCTTTACTATGACCCATTGTAATGACATTTAACCCCACGCCGCCTGTGTATCGGCACGACACTTTGTCGCCCTGGTAATACTGACTTAGAAACGTTACAAGACCCTGTGATTTGTACAATATATTGACGTTTCACTGATCTGGATTTTGATATATTTATCGCTGTTACATCACGTAGTGTGTTGGGTCCGTGACGTACGTAAGTAGACTCTAGTGACATATTTGATAGTGTCAGCATTGACACCCCCAGCCAATGTAAATTAATTCAGATAGTATTCTCAGGGCCGGACGCTTATAGAATTAAATGTATGTCTATCTACTGACGTAATCACCCCCAATGGTAGATATATTGAAGATAAGACTGGAAAGTTCACTTGTCATCAAACTAAAGGCAGTTGTGTGGTTGATTACACCACAGTCCTTATCGAGGGAATGTGATTACACTATTGTTAGTAGGATGTCGACAAGAGGTATTTTCGTAAGCTGTACTCAATTGTTTTTATTTTTGTAATAATGTAATTTGAATAATACACGTAAATTCGTAGAAATGGGCAAGGTGTAAAATGTAAACAGCCATTTTTCATTTCCTCTAACCTGTACCAGCTATCCCTCCTTGCCCCCTCTTGTTAGTAATAAATTAATCTATTCTATTCTATTGCCAAATTTCTTTTTATCTTCAAACAATTAACAAAATAAAAATAACACACATTCACACAGTGATAAATTAGGGTAGGAGTATTGAGTAAAAGTTTCTATATTCAACATTTAATGAACAATTTTAACAGTAAACATTTTGATAATGCACAATAGAGAAATATTAATCGTCTGTAGTAAATCTGTATAACTTCAAACTGAGAGAAAAATGCAGGAATCTGACAGAGCAAAATGATATATTAAATAAACTTGACAAATTTAGTAAATGAAACCTCAGTGTGTATTGGAATCTATTAAAGGAACTAAAAACACCCAAGTTAACAATGACTCAGATGATGTTGATAGGAAAATGTGGTTTGAACATTTCAGCAACCTGAGTAAATATACAAGCAATTGAACGACCCACAACTCACTGAAACTACAACTTGAAAATCATGAATTACTTTCTATACCAAGATCCAACTTGAACAAATGAATTTCACAATTAGACTTTCAAAATGCAATAACTAAACTGAAAAAACAAGCTCCAAGTGTATAGATAAAATTACCAACGAAATGATCAAGGCAGCAGGAACCTGTTAATTGAACAATTACAAAAGTTATTCAATCTAATCCTGCTGAGCAGCTACATGCCCAATCACCCAAATAACTACAGAGGCATTTACATGTCTTAGTGTCAGTAAATTTTTCACACATGTTTTTAAGCAACTGCCTTTGAAACATTTTAAAAGAAAACAATACAATAGTCAGAGAACAAACTGGATTTATGCCCAAATGCAACACCTGGGACCATATTTTTGTACAAAAACAACTAATCACAAAATATCTAAGCAGCAAAGAAACTTTGTTTGTTTGTTTCATTGACTTCCAGATGGCATTTTATTTTATGAAACTTGTTCAAAGTGGCATTACAGGGACATTGTAAAACATCATTAAATCAATATAAATGAATTCAACAGGGTGCATTGAACTCACTCAGGCTCAAAATGTCAGTTTCACAATCAGTAGAGGAATTAGACAAGGAGATGGACTCTGTCCCAATTCTATTCAATATCTATGTTATCTATGACAGTAAAATATCATTGGATTCAGGTCACAATGACCACCAAGTCTTTTAAACACAAGTCTCCCATGTCTGCTATCTGCAAACCACTTAGTTTTATAGTCCCAATTCCATTTGAGTTCACAAAATGCTATCAACATATTGTCAGAAATGGAAACTCAATATAAATATCTCTAAATCCAAAATTGTCATGTTAAGCTCAAATATCAAATAAATTCTCATTTTAATAATGACAAAAAACTAAAACTTCAAACACACCCAAACTATAAAATTTTGTTTTATGAATGAAATATGTGCTTTGAATTATGTATGTTAGGTAAGTTAAAGGGGGGGGGGGTTCTGTGCAGCATGGAGCTCCACGTGTGTAGCTTGCTGACTTGACAGTCAATGACTTGTTTGTTTATGGTGAGATAATGGTTGGAATTTTCTTCAACCTGTGTACTCTTGTATGTATCACTTCCTGTAGTGTCCTTGTTTATGTACTTATATTGTGGAACAGTGAACGAATCCAAAGTTTCGGTCCCGAAAGTTTAGCCCACCATTTGTCACCCAAACTTTTCAGTACTGGACCTTTTGACCACTAATGTTTTATATGTAAATAAGTAAATAAATATAAATAAACTGTGCTTGTAATGGACAAGTTAATGAGTTAATTAACATAGTGACAAATTTTGAGAACTCAATCCAAAAAATCATGTGTGTGGCTGAAAAGTCTGGTGTGGCAGAAGATGGCTGAAAAATTTTAATATTCATTTATATTACACTCAGTATAGTAACTGTTGTACACTTGCTCTCTGTTGATGATATGCTGGGTAGGAATCACATCAATAGTTATTATTGCATTCCCTAGTCTTGAACAAAATAATGTAATGTCTATTACAGCACTAAAGTGAACATAGCCCTTCATAGCCACCAGAATATCCACAAATCATTTATTATTTCAAAACACATTACATGTAATACCACTAACATAGTGGCAAATTTTGAGAACTCAATCCATGTAATGTCCATTACAGCACTGGTTTTCCCACAATTCAATATGGGCTCTATCAATGGCAAGCATGATCACAAATTTTGATCTTGACAGGAGGTGTACTGATTATTGACTTTGACTTATTGGAATATTTGTCAAAGTTTTCGATTCATTCAATGTATTGCCATAGTAACATCTCTTGTTGGTACCTATGGATCTGCACAACACTCAAGTCACCATCTTTGTTCCTATGGTTACCATATTTTGTGCATGCATGGTGTGAGGACCACCACCCTTGTCATGCTCAGCAATATCCTAAATAACAAATGTAGACAGTTGATACTGTTGGAGCTAGAACTTCTCCCTGCCAAGTGCCACAACCAGCCAATGGGTAACTTATTTTAGTGACATTATTGATCAGTACACGTAGTTTATTTAATTATGAGTATCTTGTACATCAATAAGTCTCATTGACCTAGCCAATAAGGACAGTAGTATGTTTACTTTTTGTCTTTGTTTTTCTTTTACTTTTTACAGTTATGTTTGTTAACATTTTATATCATCTTCCGGTTTTCTCAGGTGTACATACAGAATGTTTGCAAGAAGTTCCAACCCAGCTCGTCGTTTAAGACAAATATTGCACACAGTTCATGCCAACCCTGGTTTTATCAACTTGAACATAAAAAGCAAGTATGTATGCAGTTATATCATAGCATACTGTAATAGGGCATATATACATTATACTCAACTGAATGACCACATTTAATATCTACTAGATTTATTTTAAGCTGAATTCTAATTTCAATCTACTGAGCATGTCACTGCACATATAAGCAATGCATTATGGGATAGAAATTCAAATTTCAATCTACTGAGCATGTCACTGCACATATAAGCAATGCATTATGGGATAGAAATTCAAATTTCAATCTACTGAGCATGTCACTGCACATATAAGCAATGCATTATGGGATAGAAATTCAAATTTCAATCTACTGAGCATGTCACTGCACATAAAAGCAATGCATTATGGGATAGAAATTTTAATTTCAATCTACTGAGCATGTCACTGCACATATAAGCAATGCATTATGGGATAGAAATTCTAATTTCAATCTACTGAGCATGTCACTGCACATATAAGCAATGCATTATGGGATAGAAATTCTAATTTCAATCTACTGAGCATGTCACTGCACATATAAGCAATGCATTATGGGATAGAAATTCAAATTTCAATCTACTGAGCATGTCACTGCACATATAAGCAATGCATTATGGGATAGAAATTCTAATTTCACTCTACATATAAGCATTGCATTATGGGATAGAAATTCTAATTTCAATCTACTGAGCATGTCACTGCACATATAAGCAATGCATTATGGGATAGAAATTCTAATTTAACTCTACTGAGCATGTCACTGCACATATAAGCAATGCATTGCATTATGGGATAGAAATTCTAATTTCACTCTACATATAAGCATTGCATTATGGGATAGAAATTCAAATTTCAATCTACTGTGCATGTCACTGCACATATAAGCAATGCATTATGGGATAGAAATTCTAATTTAA